GGATGGGGGGGGGGTGCTCTTTCCTGGCACTGCCACCTTTTGCGCCAAGTAGATCAACAAGACAGTGCTCTCTCCAAGCGCCTTCCTTGTTGACTCTCTCTCCCCCCTCTCTAAGAGGCTCCCAAGGCCTAATTTAACCTCCCTAACAAGAAAGAAAGAGAGTGAGAGAGAGAGAGAAAGGAGGAGGACCGGGTTTAAGGGGGAGGAAGGAAGCTTGAATCTCTGTTGCTCTTGCTGCTGCTGCTGCTGCTTCAGGCCTTGCTGGGCTCCGGGCATTGGAGTGTTAGGCAAGTGCCAGCCAGCCAGCCATGGGCAGAGAGGGGGAAAGCAGGAGGGGGGAGGGAAGGGAGGCGAGGGGGTTTACCTGCAGAGCGCCGGGGAGCTTGCTGCTTTCTCCTCGGCATGCTGGTGTTGCCGCCGTCTCTTCAGCCGCCCTCCTCCTCCTCCTCCCTCCTCCTCCGCCGCCGCTGGAGAGTTTCCGCACAGGACTCTTCCAATCCCCACTCTTTTCATGCAGGAACACACACACACGGCACTGAGAGACTGAAGGGGGGGGGGATCAGGAGCGAGGCGCGCAACCAGCCCCAAGCCGTGGCTCTCCTGCTTCAACTTCTCCTTGCGCCCCGGGTCCAAAGCGAGGCGGGGGCCCAAAGTTTGCCGGGCTCTGCTCCCGGAAGCTGGTGCTGTTGTCCCGGGTGGGCTCCTCGGAGGCCGAGAAGGGGCCGGGGGCGAGCAGAGGGCCGCGAGGCGGGGACGAGGGGACCCCCCGCTTGGGCACGGCGAGGCCAGGGGTCGAAGCCTCCGCCGCTCCGCCACCAACTCGCTCAGGCAATGTTTTCATTGACGAGACTGGTCTCTTGACCTTCCGATGCTCCCTTTAGAAAAAAATAATAATAATAACAACAGCCACAGCCAAAACACACGCACGAGCACGCGTCCGTGTTGCCTCTCCTTCTTCTTATATCGGTGGCTTTTTTAATTTTCTTCTTCAAAGAAGAACAAAAAGTTCCTGGCCAAAACAAAGCTGTGGGTTGGCTGCTATAGAAGAGATGGACCAGGTGGAGAGGCTGGCCGCTCCAAATCCGTCGCCTTTGGGACCTCGTCTTCTTCTGTCTTCTTCTCCTTCCCTCTTTCTTCCTTCCCTGCTTCTTCTTCTTCTCTTCCCTCCACCCTTCTTCCTTAAGGACTTCTCTCTCTCTCTCTCTCTCCTGCGTCTTCTTGGAGGCGAAGGGAGCCAACGGCCGGAGAGGATTCAGACGCGCTTCCTTCTTCTTCAAAGCCCCCCCCCTTCTTTACTCGCCTTTCCCCCTCCAAGATCAAAGTCTCTCCAAGCGCAACTTTCCCGGCTTGGTTTGGGTGGTGTGTTTGGGTTTTTAAAAAGAGGATGACAAAACGAGAGAGCGAAAAGCTGCTGGCGGTTTTTATTGCGCCGGTCGTCTCTTTCTCATTGTGCAGCGAACGAGGTCGATCCTCGTCTTCCTTCTCCTTCTCCTCCCATCATTTCATCTGAGCCACCAAAAAAAACCCAATCTTTTTTTTAAAAGAGTAAAGCCTCCATACATACAGATCACACCGGATGGGAAATGTCAGTCACTCCTCTTCCTCCTCCTCCTCCTTTCAAAAGAGTCAAAACAGTGGCTACTTTTCTGCCTCTCTCTCTTTTCCTCCCAAAGACCGCCGCTTCTTCTTGAGGCTAGAAACGTGGGTTATTATTTTGGTAAAGTTGATCTGGAACAGGAAAGAAACAAACAAAAAACACACACTTAGATCGGACCCTAACCCCACCCCCACGCGCGCGGATTGTGTGTGTGAAAGATAGCGAGGCAGTCACGGGTGGGAGATGAACGTGAACTCTCCCCCCTTTTCAACTCCTGGGAGAGAAAAGAGATCCACTCTCCCTTCTCTTCTCTTTTCACTGAAATATAGCCCACATTCAGATCCCAGAGCTTTCAGACAGTCTCAACTGATAGACAGACACATCGAGCTGCTTTTCCTGCTTCGGATTTTTTTTTCCTCCTTTTTTTTTTTACTCCTCCTCTTCTTGCCAACGTCACCCTGACAATTACAAATAGGTCTCAGACAAACCCATACCTGTCAATCTTTTTAATTGCTTTGTTTGATTTTTCTCTTTTTCTAGTGGCTGGTTTTGTTTCGCAGGGCTTCAAATTACGACCCGTCTTAATGATTTTTAATTTTCTTGAACCCCCTCCCCTCAAGAGGAAGAAGAAAAGCGCAAGGATTTGTTATAGTAACGCTGAGTTGGGTACAGTATGTAGTGTCAAACACGTGTACTGCACAGCTGACTAAGTGCCAGGAGTTTTTTCTTTCTTTCTTGGGGTTTTTTGGCAGGGAGGGAGGGAGGGGGGAGTAACACTCTCAAAAATAGAAAGTTTTGTTCTCTCTCCCCCCCCCCCCCCCCCCCCCCATTCCCTTCAAAACTGAAGTAAGAACTACATTGCTGAATCCAAGATTTGAATGAAAAAGAGAAGTGATCCTTCCCAAAATAAAACTGTGGTTATAGTGCAGCTTGGGGCAAAGGGTGACTTGATGTTCTCCCTGTTATTCATAGTTATATGCAAATAAATTTATAGGTATATGCAAATAAGAAATGGAATGTCTAACAAAATAATTGTGCAAATAACTTTTTAAAACGTGTTAAATAATCACAATCCTGTATATATATCCATGTATAATTGGTAACAAAGCTTATTAGGCCCAGCAGGACTTACTCCTAGGTGAATGTCTGAAGGAATTCAACCCAAACATCCCTTGCTCCTCAGTTTGTGTCTGCACCCAACACCAATGATGCATCCACACCAGGCATGGGCAAACTTGGACCCTCCAGGTGTTTTGGACTTTGACTCCCACAATTCCTAACAGCCTCAGGCCCCTTCCTGAGGAAAGGGCCTGAGGTTGTTAGGAATTGTGGGAGTTGAAATCCAAAGCACCTGGAGAGCCCAAGTTTGCCCATGCCTGATCTACACTGAGGAATGAATGCAGTTTGACACCACCTTAACTGTCATGACTCTATCCTATGCAATCCTGGGGGGGTTGTGGTTTTTTCAGGTACCAGCACTCTCCATCAGAGAAGACTGAAGGCCTTGCAAAACTACAACTCCTATGATTCCATAGCACTGAGCCATCCATCACAGTAAAAATGGTACCAAAGGGCATTAATTCTACAACTGTAGATACACCCTAAGTCAAGATAAGCAGGTTTGGGGTTTTTTTTAAAAAAAAAAACTGGCTAAGCACCATCTTTCCAAAAGCAACTCTGAACATTGCAGAAGCTTGATTTAAAAGCACTGAGTGGGAAAACCTTTCAGCCAATAAATCAGTGGTTCCCAACCTGTGGGCCATGGCTCACTAGTGGGCTCCGAGTCCTAAAATATGGTCGAGATCAGTGGTCCTCAACCTGTGGGTCCCCACATGTTTTGGCATTCAACTCCCAGAAATCCTAACAGCTGATAAACTGGCTGGGAGTTGTAGGCCGAAACATCTGGGGACTCACAGGTTGAGAACCACTGGTCTAGATTATAAATATGGTTTTCAGTGGGCAAGCAGATGGCAACTACTGGATGGCATATATTCTGTATCAGAAACTAGAGCTGATGTGGTCTACCCACTGCAGCTTTCTGAATCAGTACCCCAAATAACCTGGCTGCCCTTTTGGTACTAATGTTGGAGAGTGGTCCTTGTTCAAAAAAATAAAAGGTTGGGAACCACTGAAATAAATAAATGGCATTATTATTGAACAACTATTGGAGGGTGTCAGTGGATTTTAGCTTTGCATCTACATCTACACTGTAAAACCACGTAAACCTACAAATCTCGTGATTTCCTAGGACTGAGCCCTGGCAGTTCAAGTTGGGTCAAAGGGCCCTGTCCTACATTCTAAGGCAGAGAAGGCTAAAGACCTGGTAAAGCTACAACTGTCAGGGTTCCACCGCATTGAGTCATAGCAGTAAGTGTCAGCTGCATTCATTCTACAGCTTAAATGCACCCTATATAGAGTAATATAAAAAATCCATAGGGCATCTGAACATGCTCAAAGGTCACACAAATATCCTGGGAGGAGGGTGGCCTGAGATAGAGCACCACATCTCCCATAAAGAGGCTTCGCCAAGAGCTGTTTGTTCCTCGATCGCCTTTTCCTCGCCTTGCAGGCACCGCTTGGCTCTGGGTTGATTTGTACCTCCTTACGAGGAAGTGAACGTTTCGCCGCGGAAGGGGAGGGGCTTCGCTCGGCAGCCGCCGCCGGCGCCCGAGAACAACATTAGCGCCAGATTAGCTGCCACTTCTTCTCTTCCTCCTCCTCCTCCATAAACCCTTGCCTTGTATCCCACCCGAGTTGCCTTTTGGGGGTGGATTTTCCTCCATAGAGAGCTACTGCAAAAACAAGGGTTGGGTGGGTGCAGAGAGAGAGAAGAAAGAAAAAGCGAACCGGTGGAATAGATCCAGCCAGAACCTCTCTCTTATTACGCAGGTCACTCACACACGCAGATGGGGATGGTTGTGGGTTCGTTTGGCTATTGTGCAATGATTGAGTTTTTTAAAAATCCACCTTTTTTCCTTAGCGGAGGGGATGGGGGTTAAGCAGCGTGGTTTGACGTCTCGCCCAGGGTTTGTTCCCTTGGCTTTGCAAAGGTAGTCTCTCCTCTGGAGGTTTTGAAACAGAGGCTGGATGGCCATCTGTCGGGAGGGCTTTGAAGGTATATTCCTGCCCGGACTGGAGGGCCCTTGCGGTCTCTTCCAACTCTTTGATGTGATTGTGGTTCCAGCTTATAAGCCACTGCAGGAAGATTTCTTCTGAGGAGGCTGAGGGCGGGGAGGGGGGGTTGCTTGCTTTTTGGTCTTGACGGTTTACTCCAATGGCTCAAACCAGCCCAAACCAGTCTCTTCCCGGAGCCTGGGCTTGAGCTTTGCCCGCCGGAGGGAGGCTCCTCCTAAGCAAGGCTGGGAGGGACAGGAAAGGGAAGAGCGAGGAGGGGGAGGAGGAGAGGCGAGCCTTGCCATGAGCAGCGCCTTGGTGAGGTTTTGGGGAGCTCCTCGGCGGCAGCTCCTCGGCGCTGCTTGCCGCCTGATCCACCCTCCTTCGCCCGGCGCCAGGCGCATCGTGGACATGTCCTACTCGCGGCAGTTTCTGGATTTCCAGGGCTCCAACATCCCCGCTTCCATGAAGAAGGTGGTGGTCACCAAGCTGAGCTCCGACTTCCGAGAAGCCGCCACCCTCCACCGCGACGTCCCAGTGCCTCTCCCTGGAGACGGAGACCTCCTGGTCCGAAACAGGTGAGTGGGACAAGACCGACCCTTTCTGCTTTCCCCCCTCTCCTTCTGGCCCCTCTTCTTGTCTTTTCCTAAATGCCCAGCATGGGGAAAGGGTGAGAAGCCCCTTTCCCCTCCAAGTTGCAGCCCTCAAAACTTAGGACTCTCTCACAAACTTGGCTTTCCTTCTCCTTTCCCTCTGGTCAGAAACAGGTGACAAGATCTCCTCTTTTCTTTCTCCCTCTTCCCCTCTCTTATCTTGTGGGTCTTCCCTGGTTCTTCCTCAGTGTTTCCCCCCTTTTCCTCCCCCAAACTTCTCTCTTCTTTCACACACTTGGCCTCCCCCTTCTTTCCACACACTCCTTCCCTTCTGGCCAAGCTGCACCAGCTGCCATCTGGCGACTGTGGCTTAATAGTGTTGTTTAGTGCCAGGATCCCACGCGTGTTCTCCCACTTGACTTTTGCGCTCCGATACTCCTCTCCCTTTAAAAAAATGGGGCGGATAAGAGATTGGATAGCCATTTGTCAGGAATGCTTTGATTGTATTGTCCTGCCTGGCAAAATGGGGTTGGACTGGATGGCCTTTGGGTGACAGATTGCCTCCCCTCCAAATCTGTCACCTACACTCTAGAGCAGGCATGGGCGAACTTCGGCCCTCCAGGTGTTTTGGACTTCAACTCCCACAATTCCTAACAGCCTACCGGCTGTTAGGAATTGTGGGAATTGAAGTCCAAAACACCTGGAGGGCCAAAGTTTGCCCATGCCTGCTCTAGAATGAATGCAGTTTGGCACCGCTTGAACTGCCCTAGAATCAAAGTAGTTGTCCAAGGTCTTTAACCTTTTCTGCCAGAGTGTCGATGCCTCACCAAACTATAACTCCCAGGATGCCATATCATTGAATGAACCATGGCACTGCCACCTGCATTCATTTTACAGTACAAGAATACCCATCTCCCCTCCCATTGTTTTGCTATTCAATGATATTGCCATTTACTTATTTATTGGCCCAAACATTGCGTTTTAAAGGCCTCCAGTATATTAGGAAAAATGGTGCCTGTTCAGTCAAAGAATTCATTGAAGTATTTTCCCCAAATCTGCCCATTTTGACTTAAGGTACCTTTAACAGTGTGGAATGAATGGGGCTTTCACTGCCAGGGCTCAATGCTGTGGAATCATGGGAACTGCAGTTTTACAAACTCTCCCAAAGAGAGTCGATACCTCCCCAAACTACAAATCCCAGGATTTCATGGGATTGAGCCATGGCTTTCCTCACCTAAAAAGAGGCGAGCCACCCAAACTTCCTCTGTGGGGGGAAAAAGTTGCCGATTGACCCAGGGGACTCAGGAAGGGCTTCTCCACAGCCAGGAAATGGCTGCCAAGGAAGCCCCTCCCCGGCCTCTGATACGTTTGTGTCTGTGACACGGATCTACAACCCTGGAGATCCGTGTCTCCAACCCAGGGTGGGTTGCTTGTGGCTGTATTTTTTCTTCCCCTGTACTGTATTTCTACTGTATAGAAGTCAATGTGTGTGGTTCCAGTGAGAAAGGGAAGGAGGGGGGATTATTTATAGTCTTCTGTGTGTGAGTGTGTAGTGTGCATGTGACACACTCCAGACCTTGTTGCACAATGTTCAGCTCTGCCTAGGGCCCTGCCCTCCTTTCCTTCACCCAATCCTCCACGTCACAGACCTAAATCAACAGGAAAGCCCAGGATCTGGGGAGGCAATGAGGCTGCCCACCTACCTTCTCCCCCCTCCCGCGCCACTCTTCCCCTCCCTTCTCCCGCAACAAAAGCGCGAGAGTGGGTGGGAATGTGGCCACCCTCCGCCTGACCCCAGTCTCTCGCTCAAAAGGAAGATCCCTCTTTCAATTCGGGGGACATTGACTTTCCCAATAGGTCTCTTTAGCAAAGTAAAAAGTGTGTTACAATTATCAGATGTGTGCACGCGGCTATCCGTAGTCCCGCGTGGAGTGAAGACGTGACATTTTACCTTTAACAAGATATCCTGATCTAGTTTGATAATCCTGACCAGTTTGTTTATCTTTCTATGAAGCCTCCCTGATAATTCCCCCCTATAAACTGTGAGTTTACATACTAAGTCTGAGCATATCCTTCTACAAAGTCTCCATTGCAAACAAAAAAATCCCCAAAGGACCTTTCTCTAAAAAGATTTGCACAATATTTTTTCTCTCCCCCCCCCTCTTTTTTGCAATGATTCCTTTCCAAGGTGATACCATACCCTTTTTTTTTTAAAAAAAAGTGAGATTACAAAAAGAATCCCTTAGCATTAGTAAAAGGTGCGATTGTTAAATGCCTTTGTGGAGGAATGGGAAGGAAGGGGCTTTTTTTCCTTCTTTCTGATCATGTTTAGAGTAGAATTCCTTCCTAAAATAAATGTTCCAAACCTAGAACTGCTTCCTTGGCGGCGATCCAGGATAAATTGCCTTTCAATACGTTTAACCCCCTGGAAACTGATAGGAGTAAACCGGATCAAGGGCAAGTACAGGGGATTAAGTGGATTTTGCATACACAGAGGTTCCCCTTCATAGGGGAGAGGAGCATATATCAAACCTGGATCTCTGAACCCCAGAAAGATACACAAATGTTTCATGCAATGTAAAACCCTCCCATGACAGAGAGAGGTGCTCTTCTTCGAATCAAAGGTGTGACATGGGGGCTGTCACCAGAATATACTTTTTGGAAAATATATATATATATATATATATATCGGAAGCATCCGGTTTTTTTTAGAAAAGATGTCCAGCGCTTTAAGACAGCAATAGGGAAATGAAACCTGGTTTGCTCTTTGGGTGATTGAATGGTTATGTCCTCCCCCCCTCTCCCCCCCTCCCTCATTCTCTCCCCCCAAGAAATTTGGAAAATTTATGAGTGCCATTTATTGTGTGCTCAATGCAACGCCTTGCTGAGACTGGGTGGCCTTTTTGGGGACGCGTTTGTGCCTCCCCAGGCAGAGAAAGAGAGGGGGACATATTTAGTCCGCTAAAAAACAAAAATCCACTTGAATTTGGCCAGGCTGCTTTGGAAGGAATCCCAGGGTTGGGCTTGGCAACTTTTGCACCCTAGGGGTGCTTCTTTTTGGGGAGGAAAACACTCCTTTTCACTCAGGTGGGGGGGACGGGGGACGACCAACCTTTCTAATCTCTTTCTTTTAAAACCTCACTTCGGACTCCTGCCTCCTCATTTATCCTGCTTAGCCTCTGGGTTTCTTTAACCCTGAAAAATAAACTCTGTTACTTCCAAGCGTATTGAGAGGAAAGAAGCAAAGGGAGGGGATCTCTGTATACTAGGGCTTCGGTGAGCATATTTGGCTACACCAAATGAGCAGAACCAATGGCAATATGCAGAATATTTTCCTATGTAAAAAGGACACAGTCAACTCAAGAGGCATAGGAGTAATATAGTAGCAGCGAGGAAACGTTGCACAAAGCAACCACAGAGTATATAGAAACTCCAATTGGCTTCAGAGGATTAAAGTCTGAACTTTGATTTTCTTCCCTTTTGTCTTTAGATGCTGCTAATACAGAACTCTTTTTAAGGACCAAAAAATCCTCATTTTTCCCAGGGCCCTTCCACACAGCCATATAACCTAGAATATGAAGGCAGAAATCGCACTGTATCTGCTTTGAATTGGGTTATCCGAGTCCACATTGCCACATATTCCAGTTCAAAGCAGATAATGTGGGATTTTATTCAGCTATATGGAAGGGGCCCCATTCTGACACTCCATTTCTAAATAGCTGGGGAAAAATCATTCAAGCCTTGACTCCCAAAACAATATCCTTCGGGTGTATGAAAATACTTCAAAAAACAAACATGTTTAATTTTCAAAAAGGAGGTGTGAGTGGAAGAGCCTTAATATTTAAAGGAAAAAGGGGGGAAACTTTGAGGAAGACTCTGCCTTGCCTCCGTTTCTATCTAGGAAGGATCTTCCCGAAATGGAGGTTTTATTCCCAAATGAGGCGTGAGAGGTGTGTGTTACTCTTGAATAGAAAAAGTGGCAGGTTATATATGTCTTTTCTCCCCTGCCATAGGAAAAAAAAAAGGAAAGTATTTGTTAAAACTGCGAAGGAAGAAAGGAGGAATTGGAAGGAGGTCTTCTTTCTTATCTTTGACTTGGCGCAGAGCTTGTTTGGATGAGGCTACGTAGTTTGTTTTGCTGGCTAGTCGAGGCTCTTGCTTCTTACCAGATTTTTTGTTTTTTCAAAAAGGAATAGCCATGTTGTTTCCTTTAAAGGAGGCCCTCCCTTTCTCCCAAACCCGAAGCTGTTGCTATAAATCAAACGGGAGAAAAAGTCCCTCTGCAGCCATGGAGGACGGAGTGGACTTGAGTCCTATTTGTGTGGGAGGTTGGGTGGGATTTTAAGAGTTTTTTACACACACATACACCTTTTGGAAAAGTAGCTCAAATTTGGCAAAGCCTTTTTTTCTAAAATAAAAGTACCCCAGCAAACTGAAGGAAAAGAGGGGCGCAAGGAAGGCCAGCTCGTTAGCTGAGAGGAAAGAAAGCGCAAGAAAGGCTTTTCAATCCAGACAAGTTGGCGAGCTGATCGTGAACTTGCCCTGACACTTTTTGGAGCGAAAAAGCGCCTTCCACACTATGGCCCTTTTCACACAGCTAAATAAAACCCCATATTATCTGCTTTGAACTGGAATATAAGGCAGTGTGGACTCAGGGCCCTTCCACACAGCCCGATATCCCAGAATATCAAGGCAGAAAACACCACAATGTCTCCTTTGAACTGAGAGCCCTTCCACGCAGCCCAATATCCCAGAAAACCAAGGCAGAAAATCCCACAATATCCCCTTTGAATGTGGGGCCCTTCCACACAGCCCTATATTCTAGAATATCAAGGCGGAAACCCCCAATATTTCCTTTGAATTTGGGGTCCTTCCACACAGCCCGATATCCCAAAATATCAAGGCAGAAAACACCACAATGTCTCCTTTGAACTGGGAGCACTTCCACACAGCCCAGTATCCCAGAATATCAAGGCAGAAAATCTGAGCGTGGACTCAGATAATCCAGTTCAAAGCAGATATTGTGAGATTTTTTTGTCTTGATATTGTGAGATATAGGGCTGTGTGGGTTATCTGAGTCCACATTGCCACATGTCCCAGTTCAAAGCAGATACTGTGAGATTTTATTCAGCTGTGTGGAAGAAGCCTGGGTTATCTGAATCCATACTGCCATATATTCCAGTTGAAAGCGGATAATTTTATTCAGCTGTGTGAGAGAAAATGGGATTGTGCCCTCTCAGCCCTCATCTTCTCCCTCCTAAAGAGCCTTTACACACTGGCATATAACCCAGAATATCAAGAAAATCTCACAATATCACCTTTGAACTGTGTACTCTGAGTCCAAACTGCCACGTATTCCAGCTCAAAGCAGAAAATGTGGGATTTTATTCAGTTCTGTGGAAGGGACCCCAGTTCAAAGCAGACAATCTGGTTTTTATATGGCAGTGTGGAAGGAGCCACCTAATCCTATGAGTGTGCATTGAAGCCCCTTCCACACAGCTGTTTAAAATCCCACATATCTGCTTTGAACTGGATTATATGGCAGTGTGGACTCCGATAACCCAGTTTAAAGAAGATATTGTGGGATTTTCTGCCTTGATATTCTGGGTTATATGGCTGTGTGGAAGGGCCCTGGGTTGCCAGTCTCATTTCGGTGTGAACAGGCTGCTTACTTCGCTTGCTGTTACTGTATTTCGGTCATTATTATTATTATTATTATTATTATTATTATTTTATGTTCTGAAAAACCACGACGTGAAAGCACTGTCCTGTCCTCACACTTTCCGCAGATCCTAAGAAAACAGGATTTTTTAAAATAAGCCCCTGCTTACGTTGGGGTGGCTTTAAAGAGTTTTGGCTTAGAATGATTTACCTCACGATTCTCCAAAGTTAATAGTGTGTAGAGGAGATTCGTGGGTCTAGCCAGGAACTGAGACGTCTTTCGGTTTGGACGGCCAGGGTCTTTTGTAATCTGTGAGGTAAAAATGGCCTCCTGGTCTTCCTTCCTTGCTGAGAGGAGGCTGTTTTTTTTTACCTCACAGACAAACCCACGCCTCTTTCCCTCAAGCGCTGTGAAGGCGTTGCGCGCTTTTTTCCAACTGAGGGGTTCAGGCCCCCTTCACACAGCTGAATAAAATCCCACATTTTCTCCTTTGGACTGGAATATATGGCAGTGTGGACTCAGATTACCCAGTTCGAAGCAGATATTGTGGATCATCTGCCTTGACATTCTGGGTTATATGCTGTGTGGAAGGGCTTTGAAGGAGGGAGAAGATGAGGGCTGGGAGGGGATAATTCCCCACTAGTCTCTCCCATTTTTTCTCACAGAGGCCCCTTCCATACAGCTGAATAAAATCCCACATTTTCTGTTTTGAACTGGAATATATAGAGTGTGGACTCAGATTACTCAGTTCAACTGATATATTGTGGAATTCGCTGCCTTGATATTCCGGGTTATATGACTGTGTGGAAGGACCCAGAGACACATGCTATTGGGTGCTATTCCTGTCAGATTTCTGAGGTGATTCCTCACCATTTTCAGCCTCCCATTGTTCAGAATAATGGCCAAGGGGTGTGTTTCTAGGAAGCCATCTCACAACATTGAGGGTTTGAACCAATTTCAGCCCATTTGAGGGCTTTAGATCTGGCCCTCCCTGTTGGTTGGAACTGGGTCCCGTTCTCTGTCAGCATCTGCACTGTGGAACTAATGCAGTTATCACTCCCATGATTCACAACTATTGAGTCCTTGGAAGTGTAATTTGGTGAGAGATCCACCCTCTTTGGTAGAGAAGGCAAAAGACCTTGTAAAACTGCAACTTCTAGCAATCCATGGCAGTTCAAACTGCATCAGTTCTACAGTGTAGATGCACCCCCAGTCCTAAATCAGAACAAAACTCGTCTCTTCATGGTCTTTGACTTCCATGGCACTGCTCCCAAGATGTGTTTTTAGGCCCATCCTGCAGAATAGGAAGGTAGCAACTACAGTAGACTCTCAGGACCCTTCCACACAGCCATATAACCCAGAATATCAAGGCAGGAAATCCCACAATATTTGCCTTGAACTGTGTTATCTGAGTCCACACTGCCATATATTCCAGTTCAAAGCAGATAATGTGGGACTTTATTCAGCTGTGTGGAAAAGGCCTCAGTTAACTGGCACTCATGGAGATTAATAGATGCCAGATTCATGTAATTTCTAGTATTTTGAGAGTTAGCACGAATAGGCCTTACTAATACCATATCCCATACTATATCATACCATAGACCAGGCATTCTCAAACTGCGGCCCTCCAGCTTTTTGGGCCTTCAACCAAACAGCTGGAGGGCCGCAGTTTGAGAATGCCTGGTCTATGGTATGATATAGTATGGGATATGGTATTAGTTAGGCCTATTCTTCGTGCTAACTCTCAAAATACTAGAAATTACATGAATTTGGCATCTATTAATCTCAATGGTCAGAATTCCTGACCATTGAACAAACTCGTTAGGGATTCTGGGAGTTGTAGGCCCAAACAGCTGGAGGGCTGCAGTTTGAGAATGCCTGCCATAGACTCTGGGTTGACTTGATATTAATATTGAAATACAGTAATTTAAATCAGATAAAGACACACTTAATGTAACACAAAGTTACATGTATTTTCATTTTTTATTCAAAGCATTATTTCTTCAGGTTTTAAGCTTGAGAGTTCCAGTTAACTGAGGCCCCTTCTACGCTGCCATATAAAATCCAGATTATTTGCTTTGAACTGGATTATATGGCCAGTGTAGACAGATAATCCAGTTCAACACTGATAATATGGAATATCTGCTTTGATAATCTGGATTATATGGCAGTGTAAAAGTGGCCTGAGAGTTTACTATATTCAGTTGGCTGGATAAATTATCCATTAGAAGCTCATACACTCGGCCTGTTCTTGCAATAATGCAAGGTGGGATTTGAAGGAGGGTCTTATGTGCTATTCAATACTTGTTTGGGGATGCAATAGTAAAGCAATAGGAGGAGGACTGAAGGAATGAGGCTAGTGTTACAGCCAACTACCTCTCTGGTTAGTAACCTCACTGCCAGTAGTTATAACTGTGTTGGAATGTAAAGCAAGAGTTTTCTGTAGCATAGTAGCCCCTTCCAACCTTGTTTCTTTCAGCTTTTATTTCTCACAGTCCTCAAGAATACAGCACATGCATTTGGCCTTGGAATCTGCTTGCTTCCTTCCTCCTCTTTTTCACACACTCTCTCTTCCTTAAAATGGGACATTGGAGTTATGTAAATTAAACTCCAATGGATGGTTTTCTCTCTGAAAAGGTATAAATAGACTGAAGATATTCTTTGCTACAGATACAGACTTGATTGTATGAAGAATTGGGAAGAACAACAGAAGTAGCAACTCTCTGGCCCTCTCTGAATATGCATATATTTGTAATTCTGAGTGTGTATCATATGCATATCTATATCTATATATCACATGCATTTGAGCACATTTTACTAATGAAGGTTTTCCTTAGAATTAGAAAGGACCAGTGCGTTTGCTTTAATTTTGTCATTTCCCTTTCTGTGAGCTATTTCAAATTATAATAAATCCACAAATAGCTCTCTAGTTATGGCATTAAAATCAATTGTTCACATGTTTCCACACTTCTGCATAATTAAATGCCACATGATTTGTTTGTATTTGGATATAGAAGAAAAACTGTCAGATTGTTTTTTCTGAGAGAATCATCATAACAGTATTTTTGTTTTCAAGTTTCTACAGGGGGGAAAATCTAGCTGCACTCTTCTTTGTAAAGATAACTTGGATTTCATCACTCCATTGTGGCATGTTAAATTTTTAGTGGATTTTCCAGACTTAGGTTCATTTTTACCTGTGTAGAGGTCAATAACATTCAAATAATGCCCAAAAGTATTGTTCCCTAATTGTAGTCTTTCCCTTCAAGGTTGTTTTCAGTTCATTTGTTGTGAGTCATTTGTATACAGCAAAATATTTCAGTAATGTGCAAATTAGTGCATCAAAAGGCAAATTTGTTACAGCCACTCCATCAATTTTCTTTAAATTTGCCTGCAGTAACACTTATAACTATCGACCTTGGAAAGGACATTGATGCTTTGTGTTATAATTAGTCAATAAAAGTGTTGTTATAATCTCAAATGTAAATTTGTTTCTAGAGTTCGCATATATACTGTTTGATCACATAGATTGTTTTTTCTTGCTATTGGAAGAAAGTCATTCATTCTATAACTGATACTTTCTTTTATTCTTATTTTTATTAAACAGACAAAAGGAAAACTGCCTTAGTTGAAAATTTAATGTCACCTAAAATATGTTAGTAAAGTCTGATTAAAATCACACCAAAAAAAAAAAACTTGGGCTTCTTGCAATACTGGAGATAGACTAATATGTACTACTGAAATCTCTTAAGTATAAGGGTTTGCTTATCACAAATAAAAGCTTTGTTCAAAGAAGAAATGGTAATACATGTTTGTTTTGTTTTTTCTAGATTTGTGGGCATTAATGCATCTGATATTAACTTCTCAGCTGGCCGATATATAGCCGAAGTTAAGCCCCCATTTGATGCAGGCTTTGAAGGAATTGGTGAAGTGGTTGCCCTGGGTCTAAGTGCAAGCTCTAGATTCTCAGTGGGCCAACCAGTGGCTTACATAAAATATGGTGCCTTTGCTGAATATATCGTTGTGCCTGCTAAAGAAGCCATCCCAGTGCCTTCTGTGAAGCCTGAGTTTCTCACCCTTCTGGTAAGTGGAACTACAGCTTATATCGGTCTGAAGGAGCTTGGAGAGCTGTCTGAAGGGAAGAAAGTTCTGGTGACAGCAGCAGCTGGAGGAACGGGTCAGTTTGCTGTGCAAGTTGCAAAGAAGGCAAAATGCCATGTAATAGGAACTTGCTCCAGTGATGAAAAATCAGGCTATTTGAAATCCATTGGCTGTGACCATCCTATCAACTATAAAACTGAAAATGTTGCTGCTGTTCTTAAGAAGAACTACCCGGATGGTGTGGACGTAGTGTATGAATCTGTTGGTGGGAAGATGTTTGACTTGGCTGTCAATGCCTTGGCAATCAAAGGGTGTGTGATAATTATTGGGTTTATTTCTGGCTACCAAAGCCGTACTGGCCTTCCGTCTAGTCCGGCAGAGAACCTGCCAGCAAAACTGCTCTTTAAATCTGCCAGCGTCCATGGGTTCTTCTTAAATCATTACCTCTCTGAATACAAAATGGCAATGAAACACTTGCTCACAATGTATGAAAATGGAGAGCTGGTTTGTGAGGTAGACTTAGGAGACATGTCTCCAGAGGGCAGGTTCTCCGGTTTAGAGTCAGTCTTCCGTGCTATAGATTATATGTATCAGGGAAAAAATGTTGGGAAAATTGTAGTAGAATTACCTCACACTGTCAACAGTAAGCTGTGAAAACAGAACAGTGATATAAATCAAAAGAGGAAAAATGGGCTCGTTATGCTTCTCGAAAATTAAAACAGTTTAATTTCTTTAAAGTTGGCAGCATATTAAAATAGCATTTATGCACTAATAAAATTGTTTCCTTTCCAAGATATTGTATTTTTTATAAATGTAATTTCTGATTGATACTCCTTTAAGCAGCAACACTGTATTTTTATCTGGAACTTTTGAATGAATTTATGATTAAGCTTAAACTGAATCTGAATGTAATTCGAATAATAAAAACTGATTTTATACATTTCCTCTATGACTGGATAAGTTAAGACATATGAGGCCTTAGTCCTATGCATACTTACTTGGATGTAAATCTCTTTTACCTCTGGGGGTTTACCTTTGTGTATGCCTGGATGGAATTGCACAGTTACCACTTCTGTTTACTCACTTACCTGAAAATGTATCTCAAGTAAAATCTGTTACTTTTTATCATTTGTGTTTGAAATTATGGAGACAATCCACCAGGACATTCTGCTAAGCAATGAGGGAAGGAAAGAGGGCTTCAGCTAAGCAAAGTGGGTTTTCAAGAACTTACACAGGACAGCATTTTAGTGTGCATCTGCACTGAAGAATTAATGCAGTTCACTACCACTTCAAGTGTTATGGTGTAGAACCATGGGATTTGTAGTTTGGTGAGGCACCAGTACTCTTTGGCAGAGAGGACCAAAGACCTTATAAAAATAAAACTCCTATGTTGCCATAGCATCTGTGGCAATTAAAAGTACCAAACTACATTAATTCTTCAGTGTAGATGCACCCCTAGTAGGTTGTGCCCAATAACTTAAATAATGAAAAAAATCCACCCTCTTTTCCATGACAATTCCAAATGAGCATGTTCATTTTCCATGGTAGTCAAATTTCTTGTTAAATTTCTTAGTTATCTGGGGAACACATCTAATGGGGTACATGTTGATTCCCTTTGCTAACTCCATGTTATCTGATATATTTAGATATATTTATTTTACAGTGTTCCTTTCAAAAGTATAGCTTTGGCTGTATGCATGCATTCAGTGAACTAGTATTGCTATCATGACACATTCTGTTTATTGAAGTAATCTAAAATAGTAAATGACTGGATTGGTTGTCTAGAATGGCAGCAACGGAGAGCCACACCTGTTTATGCAAAAATATAATCTGGAATTGTATTTTTGCAAGTTATATCTAAAGCATTTGAGTTGCTATTTCAAAAATATTTCATTGTGTTTTTGTGTAAATCTGTACGTTTCTACCAAGAAGTAAGTCCTATTGGTATATTGGGCTTACTCCCAGTAAATCATGGAGGTTTACAATATATTTATTTCCAGTTGCCTGGAATAATTTGACATGTTTAAGATTGTATCTGCCATGTTATTTTAAAAAAACTCATATTAAAATATAGCTTCCTTTAGCCACCTTTTAACATTAGCTTCATATTACATGCTTGGGCTTTTCAGAAATGGGGACTTTAATTTAAATCAATGTATAGTACTTGAAAGCACATATAGAAACATAGTATGTTTTATTGTAGACACAGTTGAATATGTACAAATCTTCTTGGATAGCTACACACATAAAATGAATTGCTGGAAGATACTATTCTTAAAACAAATTCCAGGGTCAATGTCTGCTTTTTCAGTTACTATCAGTATTGTTCTTTAATATCATTTACTGAGGTGAATTGATTCTTTTATGCTTCCCTAGTATAGCTCTTTTATTTCTATGTTACAATTCTTATCCAAGTCGTAGGGTTTAAACCAACTGAGCACCATTCACTGAATTTTGGATTGGGCTAGAGGAATATTTTCTGAATGGGTGGAATTAATATATGTTACCAGTTGATCACACTGTGGAAACACTCTGGTTATGATGAAGTGTTTGGCTTCAATCTGTTATTTAAAAATAAAAGTAGGAACTGTTATGAGATTTCTCAAGACAGTATAACTCTTAAAAATAAAATTTATGTTCAAGACCTAAGGAAGTAGAATTATAACTGCTCTGCAGCAAACATATTCCATGACTGAAGGCCATTTATTTTACATTGGGAAAGTTTTGTTACTGAGATGTTAGTTCTTGAACCTCACAACTGATTCCTATCATTTTGAGAGACATTTTCTAAACATCAGCATGTTTATATTCCAGTTGTAAATTCAAAACTAAGTATCCTGATTTCAGGAAAATCCACTTTAAAGCAGCACTTTGAGAGATTACAATCTTTGGGTGCATTTGTTTCTAGTTAAAAGAGGTGCAAATCCTATTAAGTTTTAAGAACACCCCAGCATATACAAGTTGAATGATTAAACTTGAGTCAGTGGCTCTAGATTTGACATTTAAAGGAGGCTTCCATATCAAGGGTACGTAGATGTGTTGTGCCCAACACAAGGTCCATTGACAGTAATGATGGGATTCATCTGTGGTCTGAAACAAGTAATTTCTAGACAAGAATTTGAGATTATATTTTTAAATAAGATTCTATATAATTACAATTGGTTAAAAACTTGTGACAATAATTAAGGGGCTGAGCAACATTTTCAAGCATTGTCTTGAACATATCACCAACTGTTTCATGTTGTAATTTTATACTGTACACAATAAGTATGTTGACCATTCACACACAGAGATTGGTGCTCATGAAAGCAAAATCCATAATGAGCAAAACAGAGACTCATGCTTATAGGCATGCAGAGAACTGGAAGCTCAGAATTCACATGCTTGAAGCTTCCATCATGCATTTTTCTGCATATTTGCAAATAGCTACCTCCAATTCATGTATCATATGTTTTTTGCCACATGTGCAGCAAATGCATGCCATAAAGTGTAAATTGGACTCAATCTTTTATGCCATCTAGAGAGAGCAAAATAAACATGAGCTACATTGAAATCAATGGGATATAAATTCATAACTATGGATTGTTAAGTAGAATTGTGATTATTACAATTACTTTTTATTTTCAGTTCAAGTCCAGCCTATCTTTGTGACCTCATCTCCCCCTAAGAACCGGTGCGGGCTCTAAGGTTTGCCAGGGAGGCCTTCGTCTTGGTCCCGCCTCCGTCTTTAGTGCAGTTGGTGGGGACAAGGGAGAGGGCCTTCTCGGTGGTGGCCCCCAGCTCTGGAACACCGTCCCCAGTGAACCTAGAAAGCCCCTACACTACAACACTTTAAGAACGAGTTAAAAACTTAGTTTTCCCAGCAGGCATTTGATGCTGTTTAGACAGTAACCAAAACTGATTACTAATCACGTAGCATTTTATAATCTATTGGGCTGCTATATTGATTACATAGATATTTTAACTGATTCTATTTTTAATAGAGGTTGTTTTATCCAATTTATATACCTAGTTTATGTAATGTATTATTGTTTTCATGTCGATGTATTTTGTTTTATTTGTTATGTATTTTATGTATGCATCTTTGTGTTCTATTTTGTAAGCTGCCCTGAATCCCTATGGGAAATGGTGGTAGGCTATAAATAAAGTATTATTATTATTATTTATTCTCTTTCTCTCTGAAACAATAGTTCTGTGCTTGGTAATTCACAGGATTTTACATAGACATTTTGCTGCTGCTATATTTTTATTTTTGTTCCAAAATAATTTTAGATTAATATTTTTTAACCTAAATTGGTTTCATATCCCTCCTTAGATAAATCAATCCAGGCATATTGGGGTTGTACTTGTTCACATGTCAAAGGGTAAACAATACAATGTTTCTTTTATGTTCTGAAAAAGAAAGGTTTTTCAAGGTATTTCATAAAAATACTGTCTGGTGGTTTGATTGTTTTCTTCCCCCCCCCCCCCCCCACACACACACACACACATTTGGCTCTCCTACTTAAAAGATGTATTGTAGTCTCACCATAATATGAATTATTTTACTTCTGAAAAACAGTGAATTTAAATAATGAGGCAGCATTAGCAATCAAATAAAAATAATATAGTATAGACAAAGGGCAGTATGCAAACATATAAATCAGAAATACTATCAATTCACAGCAAGTTTATCAATGATAAACTTAGTCCATGATCCAGATTGCTCAGTGCATAAATGGATGAAGATTGTGCTTTTCTTTTCCAACTGTTGCTGTTTGCCCGTTAAATACTAGTGTAGTGGAAAAGGGCATTGGAGTGTGTCTGTGTACCATCAAGACACCAGTCGACTTATGACACAATATATTTAATAGGGTTTTCTTAGGGAACTAATATTTCCTGGTGGCGATGCCAAACTATACTACTGAAATAATTGTTTGCAGCATCTAGCACTTGCTGACAGTTTCCCATTCAAATACTTACCAGGTCTGATGCTGCTTAGCTTCCAAGATAAAGTGGATTCCAGTGCCTTTAGAGTATTTGGTCCTTAAAAGCTAGATTGCAATTGGCCTAGAAAAGGACAGCTCCATATTCAAAATTTAGAATGATGTCTTTACATGCTTTCAGAAATGATTTTTCAGAAAGCATAATGAGCCCTTAAATACAAAGAAATGTGAATAATGCATTTGTCTTCGAAACACATTAGATACATTAGGCCTTTGGTAAGATTATGTGCCAATGTGGCTTAGTGGTTTGAGCATGGGATTAGAATTCTGGAGAATAGTTCAAATTCCCGCTCAACCAAGGAAATTCACTGGGTGACCATGGGCAAGTCACACTCTTTTAATCTCAGAAAACCTTGCAATAGGTTTTTTAAGGATCGCCTTCAACAGGAAATAGTCTGAAAGAACACAAGAACAACGCTCTGAAAAATCCCCGTAAGTGCCACTGAATGCAACAAAACATCTGAGAACATGTGGATAGGATTGCTTGTAGTATTGCTGTTTTTCCTACAACTTATTATTTTTATTTTTTTACTTGAAATTGCTGGCTGTGAGAAACCTATGGGGGTATGTTTGCAGACAGAAACAGCTGGGTTTTAATACCTATAGCAATGGTTTTAATACAGGAGAAATGGATAAGAAGGAGGGTGATAACAGTGAAGGTAGTGGTGCTGGGTTTTTTAAAAGACAATCATAATACCCACTAAATGTATTTCTATTGGCCTTAGGTCTGTTTTATCAGCTACATTTCTGTTGAAGTATATTGTATTCTGAAACTTTTCTTTTTAGAATTAAATTATGGTTCTATAATGTTGTACGGCATGTGTGTGTGTGTGTGTGTGGTTTTTTTAAAACAAGAAAAGAAGCCAGTTGCTGTATAATTGCCATGCTGTGCAAATACAGATAATTGCAACTGCTCAGGGAAAAGTTTGCGGCATTATTCAGAAATTTTTGTTTG